AAGAAGAAGAAGAAGAAGAAGAAGAAGAAGAAGAAGAAGAAGAAGAATCAGATACAAGGGAAGTTTGCTGTGAGATTGTTTCTCCTATAAATGATAGGAATGCTATACACATGATACAACCATGAAATTTCTGCCATATTTAGACCTGCACAAAGTAGCACCACTAGACATGCTGAAACTGAAGGGTGAATCTCAGGGGCTCCCACCCCAAGACAAACAACTGCTGACAACTGAACAATGCTGAAAAAAGGAGACGTGTATAGGCAGCAACTCCTGAGTCCTCTACCTACTTATACCTCAAAGAAGCAACAGTAAATTTACTCAGCAGTATATACACATATAACGTACATGTGATATACACTGTACATTATATATGTGTGTGTGTGTCTATCAGTCATATTACTAACTTTGGAAGCCATTAATTTGGGGGAGTTAAGGGGAGCAAACATAGAAAGGGTAGGGGAAGGAAAGTAGAAAAGAGAAATGATAACTAAAATATAAATATCTAGGTATGTTTTCAAGAAAATATTTAACAAAAAATAAGTGAAGAACTAAACGTGTTATCTAATACTCATATATGATCAGTTGAAGATTTTATTTAAGGCATTTATTAAGATAGGTATTATATACTACTAACAATCATTGAATTTGTAAGAGCCAAAGTTTCAGGAAAGTCACTCATCTCTCAAACTATATTTTGGGGCAATGTAGTCATTACCCACATTTTCACAGTGGAAAAGTCTTATTCTCCACTGCAGCTATGCAGAAACAAATCATCTAACAAAATGGACAGTGTATCCCAGAGAGTTTAACTCTTGTGACCTCATTTGAAGGAATCATATCTGTGTAATTAGCTCTGTATATCAGGGGTACTGTGAAGCTGAAGGATTGTGAATGAAGAATGTGGAATGAAAGAAACACTAGCAGGTGAAATGGACAATGGGAATGTATACTACTTACAAATCGATAAATATATTCTCAACATTCCCAACTTTGTGCTGAAGTTGTCTTTCTTTTCCCCACATTGACTCACTCTGATCAGATCCTGTAATTCCCCTAGGAAGAGAATATATTTCCTTTCTAAAGCAGCCCCTCTGTATCATTAAAAATTTGCCAATGGAAATTCTCAGCCATTCTCAGCACTTGGAGCTAAGTAAGCAGTTTTTCTTGTTTCTTCTATACACACCTTCAGATTAGTTCATTGCTTTTCCCTCCACACATTTCTCTGCAACACACAGATCTTATGTTCCATATCTGCTAAGTGAAGAATAATCATGAAAACAAGAGCCTCCATACAAGACAGGGAAATCAGAAATTTTTCTTTAGATTCACTTTTAAGACTTACTGTTATAAGTTAAGATTGAAAGACAGTTATATTTTTACAAAAATATAACTAATTATAAAAAACATTCATTTAAGCAATTATTTGAAATCATTATTCTAATCTTTACAAATCTTTGAGATTTCAACCAACTCTCTATTTTTTTGGCTATTTTTTATGGCTGATATATATATATATATATGAATGTCTGAAATTTTGTACATGATATTTTCTGATTTAATCTGCAGAACTTTTGAAGGGCGCTTTAAGGAAAAACAACAAAACAAAACAGAACAAAAAAACAGAAAGAAGTGAAGTACTTACAAATTCCTCAGATATTTGTGTGGTGAGGTTAGAGGTGTATTGACCCATGACAATTGCTCTGTCAAAAAGATCTTCAATGGACACAACATTGTGTTCTTCCATGTCAAGGCACATGGGCATGGGAGCCACACCCTCCCACAGAAGAAGGTTTGGCATTAGCAGCAGCTGAAGCATCCCTGTGATGAAGAGAGAAATCACACCTAGATGATTCATCCACATGAAGTCAAGCAAGTTCCATTTGTTCTGAGGGCCCTGTGCCGCACGTTATGCTTTTGTGGGGAATAATTTTTGTCCTATGTAATTTTAAGCAATGTTTATGTTTTCCCAATACATATTTTTAGAGTTGGGTGACTTCCCACATCTCTGACTTGCTCTTGAAATGTTCTTTAATTTCACAAACATTTAGAGCTTACATTAATAGTGATCCACAATGTTTAGTCCTCCACATACTTTAATAATTTGTGAATTTCTGTCCGTTTTAATTTATAATACTCTCCAGGAAATTGCAATTTTTAAAAACTAAATGTCTAATGCCAGAATTTTGGATAGTGATGTTAGAAGGCGCACACAGCTGTTTACTTCACCTTTGTGCCTCATAAGAATAGGCTCATGTTTACTTGATAACTGGCAATGAAAATGAAAAAAGTCTGGTCATAAAAATGATGTAAGAGCCTAGAGTTTCCAACTCACAATGATTATCTTGTGAATTTGCCATTTTACAAAACCCTTTAATATTTTCACTTTAAACTTGATCTGTGAGTACACTAGGTCTTTTCAATTTTCATCAAAAGGCTGAGATGTGCAATTGATATCCTTACAATCCAATCATGCCTAGAGAGAGCCAATACATCAACACCTCAGACTTGTCACTTCACCTAGTCACAGAGTAGACACCTGTGGCCTTTCACTATGTATATCTGTGACAGAACCTTCCATGAACTTCAGTCATGCTAGCCAATATCAGTCTAATTAATTACAAGGAACAACACTTTGCCTTTGATTGTTTCATTACAGAAACCCTAGGAGAGTGCATTATCTATTTTTCCTGCTCTATAAAACACTTAACTTTAATATATTTGAAAATCATCATTGAGGATTTCATCAATTTGTTGGCTCAGGGATGGTCAGAGACAGAATCCAGTATATCAATAATTATAGTGTCAGAGGACTGAAACATATAAGTGGCATGTGAAACTCTCTTTCTTTTTAAAAACTATAGATCATGTGTTATAGTTAAAATAGAGTCATTCAAGTGTTTATTAAACTCAAAGATAAAATTATAATTGCTCTAATGCAGTCTGTTAAAATATTCATTTCCTTAATACAGTGAGTAATCTTTAGACAGTTATCCCATAGTGTTTGTAAAATTTTAGTTGCATCCCTGTTCAATTGAATACTAATACACGAGAAAGATCAGAAGCACAAATGTCCAAATTTGGTGTTTATTTAAATAGTGCTACAAAAATTAATGGTCTCAATAAGCAAAAAAATAATGTATAGACCTCCTTTAAACAGTATAATTTAAAAATCTATTTTATATTTTAAATTATTACATAATTATATTATTTTTCCTTTCCTGTTAGCATTTAACACGGTCCCATAAACTCCTCCTTAATTTTTCAAAGCCATCGTCTTTTTTTTTCATTAATTGTAATTATATTCATATTGTATATATGCATACACATTCCTAAATACAACTTTCTCAGGCTATATAATGTTATTCATATCTATGTTTTCAGGGCTGACCATTTGGTATTGGGTACCAAATTGGTGTTATCTTCTTTTCCCTGGAAAATATCATTTTTTATTCTATCTATTTCAATTTTCTGGTCCTGCTCCATTTTATTCATTTTCTTCACCTGCTTGATTGTATTTTCCTGTATTTTTAAAGGGTTTATTTGTTTCTTCTTTGAGCACCGCTATCAGTTTGATTGTATTTTTCCTGTATATCTTTAATGGATTTACTCTTTTGACCATTTGTGACACTACTAAACAATTTCTAAAACACCACGTATATTCTATAAGAATATAACTATCATACAACCTTTTATAAATGCAACAAAATTATATGTAACATATAACTAGGCAAATGCTAATGCTTTTCTTCCTGGAAAATAAATACTAATAACCTAAACCCTGAAATATTCCAAAAAAATTGTGTGGTATACAATGTAACTAAACAATATTTTAGCTACAGAATGAAAATAATAGGTCGGTTTTAATCAGTTTTAATTAAAATAGTTTTCTTAAATAATGATACAAACAATAATTTATCTCATTTCTATAAAGAGAACCACAGGAAAACAAGGAATGTGAGAAGAAGAAAATAGTATTCACAAGGAGCAGCACATCAGTTGTTTATCCAAAACCAAATGGCCAGCACTAAAAGCTTATAAACAAATAACAATATGTAAACTTAGCAGGTTATACTTAGGAACATTTATGCACATACATATATAAGAGCGCATATAAAAAAGGCCATATCTTTCAAAGAGAATAATGAGAGATCTATGGAAGAGTTTGGAGAGAGTAACAAGGGAGAAATGTTCTAAGTATGATGTCAAAGGTAAAAAAAAAAAAATTATTTCACATAGCATGCTTGTCATGGATAAAATAAAGTAAAATGGCAAATAACTTCGTTCTCCATTTCATAAAACAAATTTTTGGCTGTCATCAATTCATATTCCACACCAGTATGATCTACAAATTAAATGTGATTATTTTTTAACATAAGCCCGCTTCTATTATTGCTATGACACTTAGCTAGTATTGAACTGTTTAAACACACAAATCTTCTGCATTGGGCTTTATAACGTCGTTTATTCAGGTATATTCAAGTGACCAAACAGATATAAGAAAACTAGAAACCTGATATTATATTGTAGAGAAACTACAGAAAAACAGTAATAAAGTAATAAAAACTGCATGGTGCTGGCATAGAAGCAGACTGGTGAATCAATGGAATTGAATGAAAGACCCAGAAATAAACCCACACACCTAAGGACACATTAATTTTGACATAAATGCCAAAACCATACAATGTAAAAATGATAGCATTTTCAACAAATGGTCCTAATCTAATTAGATGTCCACATGTAGAAACATGCAAATAGATCCATCTGTATCACCATGAACAAAATAAATCTAAGATCTTTGGATCAAGTGGTCTTTGAATCAAAGACCTCAATATAAAACCAGACACTCTAAATGTGTTGGAAGAAAAATTGAGGAAGAGCCTTGAATCCATTGGCACAGCAGATATTTTCCTGAATAGAATACCAACAGCCCGGGATCTAAAATCAACAATTAATAAATGTGACATTATGAAACCAAAAAGCTTCTGTAAAGTAAAGGAACAGAATGTCAACAGAATAAAATGACAGCCTACAGACTGGGAAAGGATCTTCACCAACCCTACACTGAAAGAGGGCTAATATCTAGAATATATAAACAACTCAAGAAATTAGACACCAACAAACCAAATAATCCAATAAAATGGGGTATAGAGCTAAACAGAGAATTCTCAACAGAGGAGTATCTAAAGGCTGAGAACTTAAAGAAATGTTCAACATCATTTGTCATCAGAAAAAAGAAAATGAAAACTACTCTGAGATTCCATCTTACACCCATCAGAATGGCTAAGATCAAAAACTCAACTGACAACCCATGCTGGAGAGTATGTGGAAAAAGAAGAATCCTTCTCCAATGCTGGTGGGAGTGTAAACTTATACAACCACTTTAGAAATCAATCTGGTGCTGTCTCAGATAATTGGGAATAGTGCTACCTCAAGATCCAGCTGTACCACTCCTGGGCATATACCCTAAAGATGCTCCACCATTCAGCAAAAACGCTTGCTCGACTATGTTCATACCAGCTTTATTTGTAATAGCCAGAATCTGGAAACAGCGCAGACGTCCCTCAGGGGAAGAATAGATACAGAAATTGTAGCACATTCTCACAATGGTATACTACTCAGGTAATAAAAATGGGAAATCATGAAATTTGCAGACAAATGTATGGAACTAGAAAAGATTATCCTGTGTGAGGTAACCCAGAAGCAGAAAGACTTGCATGATATGTTATGCTTATAAGCAGATGTTAGTCATATAATAGAGGATAACCATATTAAAAATTACAGACTTAAAGAAGCTAAACAAAAAGGAGGACCTTAGGGAGGATGCTTAAATCTCATTTCAGAATGGCAAACAAAAAAGATACCAGAAGTTGTAGAAGAGAGGGGACAGAATGGGACCCGATTATGAGGGTCCTTTGAAAGGCTCCACCCAACAAGGGATCAGAGCAGATACTGAAACTCATAGTCAAACGTAGGCAGAGGGAAAGGAGTCTTACGGAAGAAAAGTTGCGGGGGAGTGGGGTGAGGATAGATGGACATGGAGGGGACAGGAGTTCCACAAGAAGACCAACAATGCTAAAAAATCTGATCCCAGGGGTTCCTGCAGAGTTTGATGCACTGACCAAGGACCATGTATGGAGAGGACCTAGACACCCTGCCTAGATATAGCCTATAAGCAGTTCAGTCTCCATGTGGGTTCTCTAGTAAGGAGAGCAGGGGCTGCCTTTGTCATGAACTGGGTTCCTTTTCTTTGATCACCTCCCCTTGGTGATGCTGCCTTGCCAGGCCACAGAAGAGGATCCAGGCAGTCCTGATGAGACTTGATAAGCTATGAGCAGATGACAAGGGGGAGAACCCTCCTTTCAGTGGACTAGGGGAAGGAGCTAGGGATGAAGAGAGGGAGGGGGCTACAATCAGCATGTAAAAAGAATATGCTCTAAAAAGTAAAATAAAGTAATAATAAAAAGACCCAGAAACCAAAAGATCTTAGCTTCTGACCTTCTGGAGTTGAGACAATTGTATCACTGAATCTTTTGTTCTCAAAAAAGTATGATTTCTCATTTCAGGTAGCTAGTCGTTTTGAGTAGGGTAATATCTTGGTCAGGAAAATGCTCAACTGCGTTTTCCCTTTAGAAGTCTGTAAAAATTCCCTCCTTCTACTCTCAAGTAAAATAGAACTATATTTAAAAAAAAGTCTCTGGATATTGCCGTGTTTTCTGTCACAGGTAGAATTTTCAATGTGTACTTATTGTCCTCAACGTTTATTGTACAATTACATTCTAGGGAAATTCTCTGCTCTCTCCTGCTTAGTGTCTGTAT